ACTTTCTATTGGAATATTTTCTGGTTGTGAACTTTGTGTTCATGTTTGCCAGATTCTGTTTTTGTTCTAACTCATTTAGTTTATACTTTTGCATCAACAGATCTAATTGTAATTCTTTAAGTTTTAATTCTTCCTCTTTTTTTGCAAGCTTTTTCTTTTGTTTTTTGATTTTTGAGCATCATCAATTTTACTTGAAATTTCGGTCTTTTTTATGCGATTCTCCAAGGGATCTGATAAACTTTTTTCCATTGCGATTAGAACATCATTAAGTTTACTGTCCTGTGGTAAATTTTCTTTTGGGACCTCTTCTAAAAGCATTTGTTTCTGACGTTTTACTCGCTCTAATAATTCCTTTAAGTCTTGGTTTTCTATATTTTGTGATCTAGATTTCCTAATATGATACTACTACTTGTTGTAGAGCTTTTATCATCTCCACAACAAATATCAATAATCTTTTTATTGCAAATACTATCTCTATCTAAATTTGCAACATTGAGACTAGATTGTTTTTTCTCTATACCAGCTTTCGAATAAGAGGAAGACTTAGTAAAATTGTTTCCAGGGGTTTTCTTTCCGACGGATTTATTTGATCGAACTCTATCTAAAGTAATCACATTTTTTGAAGCCTTTTACTTTGTCTAACATATTACTAAAAGCCTCATCAATCCTTTCTTTGCCTTTGATTATTCATATCTTTATATGATAAAGGATTATATAAACTTGGATTCTAAAAATATAAGAATTGTTTTAAAACTACAAAATTAACTAGTTTGTAAAGATTTAAGTACAAGAAAATGATTATATAACTATATATAAAAGATTGTTTTAAAAATATTCATTAAAAAAGTGAAACTACCATAAATTAGAATTATGATCATTCAATGAAAGCCAAAAAAAATAGCCGATTCGATTTCTTAAACAACTAAACAACTTAAAACACTAAAAAATGAATTTCCTGAATATTATTACCTGGCAAGTATCAGTTTCCCTTTCAAGTAATGCCAATGATTCAAAACATTTGTTAATATTTTCTAAATTTTTCGTATTTCTTGCTTGATTGAGAGCTTCACGACTTCTTATTTTTGATTTGGCCATAGCATCTCTTCTTTCTGAGCCTTTTGTGAGATTTCCTATAATGATTATAATTATAAATAAATATCAGAGAATTGAAAGCAATGGCACAAAACATACATAATTATCACTAGAAAAAACTTTTTGTTCGACATAAGTAAATATTTTTTTTGTTTTAAACTATACATAAATGAATAATACATCACATTAGGAATATGGAAATATTAATAAAAAAATTGATAATAATAAATGTTATTAAAACATTTCATTTTTTATAATTTGAAAGTTTGATAACTACTACTCTTTGTTTATCCTTGTCGTAAAAATGTAATTTTCAATATAATTATAATAACTATGCAAGAAGTAGATGAAGCAAAAATCCTATGATAACAATAATTTGATTAAGAGGTTTATATTAATTAATCAACAAACCTACTTTGATATCTCATAGTATTTTATCATTTGTTTCAACTCAGTAATATATTAGAGATTTGTTTTACAAATTTGTTTGAGATATTTTTAAAACTTCCAATTATACATATAAAATAAATGTCTTACAATTCAGTGCCAATCAGTATGAAGGGGCTTTTAGCCGCATAATTTGGGGCAATTACCAAACTCCTAAGTGGTTTCCAAAGCATCCGACAACATTATGTAAAGCTACAAGGATTATTGGAAATGATCGAGGACATCAACTGCCTTGTAAGTATATAATAACTGACAAAATTTATCATTCAATTAGAAAATAGATGAGTATTTAACTAAAAATACTATTATGTAGAAATTTACATTTACTTGCTGATATTGTCCGTGTTTAATCTCTGCATTAACATTAGAATGAATGATCACATTGTTTCTCATGGAAAACAACACAGAATTAGAAATTTAATTTTCAATTTATTGAACAAAATTCAATTTAATAGTTGCAAAACGACCAGCGTGCAATCCATGGGGCTATCATTTAAACACATGGCAACTCCCTATGCGAATTACTCGGGAAATAGCAAAAGAGCTGAGTGCTCCGCATCCATCACGTATGGAATTTTGGCAAAGACATGTTAAAGCCGCTGAAGCCAGATGTCAACAAGACAGTAAGAAAAAGAAGTGCCAGGCAGCAACAACTTTCTCATCCCCTAAGGCCCACCCTGATCCTAAAGATATGACTTATGTGTACTGCCCATGCACGAATAGATCAATTTGTGAGGTAATTCTTTGTAATATGTAGTATACGATTTGAAATTATTTTGCAAGTAATAGTGAATATTTTTGGAACATGAATATATTTTGAGCAAAAAATTTTATACTACTTTTTAGAATATGGCAAAGAAACAATCTGATCTAGAACAACCGACAAAATCAGTTAATTTGCCTCAACAAAAAGCTGTTGATCCCCAAGTAAAAATTTGTCCAGTGCATGGCAGAAAGATGAAGTAAACTGGCCCAGAAGTACAATAGATTAGTAAAGCAAGATTTCATACCATAGATTACACAAAAAATCCTTAAAATAATTAAGAATTATCAGTTGCCCAATTCACTTGCTATTACAATTTTCTTGAAAATTGCATATGTAATATTTTCATCCTTTGTTAAAATATGTTATTATAACTTATATGCACAATAAATTGCTTTATAACAGTTGTATTAAATGGTATATTATTTACCATGACTATTATTGCAACAAATAAAGCAAATATTGAACAATCACTGAATTGATTGATGATCAGTGTCATATTAAATCCAAGAAAACAGATAAGTGACCATATTGTTCTTTCCTTAATTAACAATTATTTTCTTAAAATAAGATGAATTATTTTATTGCTTGACATAATAAACCATGCCTCACCTTATCAAAGTTTTCACTCTCCTTTTGTGCAACATCATGAGCATTTGAAAAGTGTGAATCAACTTTCTCTACCGGATTTGAAGATGGCCTATATGTGCTTCATATTTTGTGCTGCAATCATATAATTTCACTTTTGGCAAATCTGCTGTGGTTGAACTGATTCTGGAATTGGTGTGTTTAACAGATTTTATTGGAGAAATTGGTATCACAGGCTTTTCTGAAAAAGATTTTTCTAGGCTTTGTACATTTTTCTGCAATTCCAAAACCTGTGGTTCAATGTCTTCCAAGCAATTTTTAGCACATATTATGCCATCATGAATTTTTGCTGATATTGCAGTTAAAGGACTTATAGCTCTATATTCTTCAGATTCTGGATTTACGCCCCTTTGCTTTTTAGGTGAACCAATATCTGTATGTTTTCTAACTTGAGGATTTATATCATGTTGATTTCTAATTGGACTTGAATCTCCATGGCTTATATTTATTTTTTTTGCAATAGGACTTTTTTCTCTGCATCCTTTATTTGGACTGCTAATTATATTTTGTCGTCTTGGATTTGGTTGTCTAATTTTATCACAAAAATCATCTGAAAGATCAGAGTCGTTTCTGTGTAAAACATTATCTGAAAAGTTCTGAGGATTATATACAGATGATTTTACTTTTAAGCTTGGAACATCAATGATTTTTCTAGATTTTATTCTATCACTGACTTGTGTGAAATAATTATTTGCTTCAGAACCGTCTTTATCAAGAGAGATTGCATCTGATGATGTTTCTTTATCATCATCCTCATATGATGTTTTAGGACATAAACATTGAATACCAACATCTCGTTGCATTTTGCAACATTGACAAAACCAACCATTGTGTCTCAATTCAGATAAGTAAGGAGTATGTGAAACTTTTTCTCCATTTTTGTTAGATATGGAATTTGTATAATGTCCATTGTGATCATCATCTGTTTTCAACAATGAGTTTTCAACAGGATCAGAAGCATTTTTATCAAGATTTATTGTGCCCAATTCAACTTCTGGATCATCATAACAAACACAGTCATCTTTTATTGCAGATTTCTTAACTTTTTTAATAATATGTGTGATTTTTATTTTGGGTACATTTGAGGTAGGAACAGATCTGAAAAGGATAACAAAATAAGTAATAAATAAACTTGATATTAATAAACAAATTAGTAGTCATAATATTGATATCATAAATACCTGAAAGTTTTCTGTTTTGTTTTCTGTTTGCAATGTTTTTGTATTATTTCTTCTTTCAAATTTTTCATAGCTTCCTTTCCTCTTGCTTGAGCAATATTATCTCGTTTTGTTTTATTATCCTTCAAAACTGCAAACATAAATATTCTAAGCAAAGTCTTTTACTTGTGAATACAGAAATGAAGATATAATAAGAGTGGAACAATTGTCTCTTGTGGTATAAATTGACAATTACCTTCTCGTGGATCAACTTCAGCTTCAGCTGCTTTATGAGCATTACCAAGATCACAATAATTTTTAGAGCACTGGTTTTTCATATCTCTTAATTGTTGTTCCTGCCATTCTCTCAACTCCTTGCATTTTATTTTGGCAAATTCTTCTGCTTTTCGTTTCTTTTCAGAATTGACTTTGTCACGCAATTCTGAAGCAATAACTTTTGACTGTTCCCGTACCTTCAAGTAATAGTTGTTACTAGCATTACAAAATAAACTAATAGAAATGCATTCTCTAATTAGAAATTTTACCTGTAATATCCTTTGTTTGCGTCTTTTTTGCAGTTCAGCCTTTTTCAATTCGTCCATATTATACAAAAGTTTGAATTATCGCTACAAATTATTATTATGAGTCTATATTATTATTATATTTATTCCATATATGAAGTACTATCTACGCACCTTAGTTTCCATATCGCGTTATATTATTGCATTTTTGCATAAACAAGCACATTAAAAAAATCTTTCATTCTTCGTCAACATTTGTGTGAATTTTGTGTAAAACTCTATTGTAACTTTTAACAGATTTATTTGTTTACATACCGTTCATTTGTCATACCGATAGTGTTGCCATAAATGCGCTATGAACTTCGTCGTATGAAATTCACTGCTCTGAACTGTGTTGACACAAGTGAGCTGTTGGGCTTAAGTACCAACATTTTACAACGAATAAATTTTTAAATAATTTAAAATTTTAAAATAACAATGAACAATGATTTTGATAAATAAAACTATAATAATTTTATATTTTGTTATTATATTTATACCTATATCACAATTTAGTATCAATATCTTCTACAAATGCTTCATTTGAAAAGCCATTACAAGGTTTATTGCATATAGTCATATGACCATTTGGCCTATACTCTACTTCCAGTACAATCTCGCCATTGGTTTCCTTCATTGCAGAACCATTTGGAGCAATTTCATAACCAGAATTGACAAATGCTTGTTTTGCTATATCAAGCAGTTTATCCGCTTGTCCAGTTTCAGAAACAAGGGATGCCAACATACTTCCTGGCAACATTAATAAATCATATGGTGTGCCAAATTCTCTGGGCCTTCCTGCATCCATAACCAGGATACGATCAGAGTCCATTACAGTATGCAGGCGATGAGCAATTGTCAGTACGGTGCATTTTGAAAATTGTGTGCGTATAGATTTTTGTATTAAAGCATCAGTCCTGCAGGAATAAAGAATTTTAAATTATTTATTTATCGAGTTAGATATTAAATATACTACAGGGTAAAACCTCTATTTGAAGGTTCAGTGGAAAATATATAATTGTTAGTGGAAATAATTTTTGCTAGTATAAGTTGACAATACGAGTTTAATAATGCTTGTTAATGTATTATTTCAAATATTATTTTATATAGATGTATATCTATGAAGATATAAAAAAATCCAATTTTTTAATGATCCAATTGTATTTGACTGAATCAATTATCAAAGGCATAAATAGACTAGAATAGACTAGAATTATAACATTATAATTATAATGAGATTTATCACTATGATCATTAAGAGCGTTTCATAAAAGAAATAATATTAAATAACCAACTCACTGTGGATCTACATTAGCAGTAGCCTCGTCAAGAATAAGTATTTTGTTACGTCTCAAAATGGCTCTTGCAAGGCATATCAATTGCTTTTGACCGACGCTAAAATTATTACCTCCTTCGGAAACTGAGACATCCAAAGAATTCACTGAATTTTTCATATCAACCTGAAATAATAATTCAACATTACATATAAATAACATTTTTTATTCTGTTCACAAGAGATGTAACCAAAAGGACTTGAATAAATTGACTTTTAAAAAGCAATACCGAAAATAATATATTACTCATATGTTAATTATAAAATCGATTACAATCTGGTTACATCCATGCTTGTAAATTTGATGAATAAATTTTTATGTACAAGGTCTAACGCATGCCACATTTCGCTGTCATCGTATTTCCCAAATGGATCTAAATTATATCTTAAAGTCCCATTAAATAGAACTGGATCTTGGGGTATTATGGATAGTTTTGAACGTAGAGCATCTAGATTTATTCGTCCAGTTTCCAAACCATCGATAATAATTGAGCCTTCTAACGGCGCAAGTCGGAAAAGAGCAGCGATCAGAGATGATTTTCCTGCACCAGTTCGTCCTACTACACCGATCTAAGTATAAGGAATAGATTTATGTTAAAGTTTATATTAATTAAATAAAGTAAAATATATACTATATTAATAAATAAACAAAAATCTTTAGGCACAAACCCACTAAGCCAAAATACGTAAAATTTATGTAATTTTTACGCAAAAAAATTACATACTTATGTCATTTTTACGTAAGATTAATGTAAGATATGTGTCATAATTTCGCCTATTTTAAGTAATGTGGATTACGTAATATGGATTACGAAAATATTTCATAATAATTACGTAATTTTTGAAAAAAAAATGACGTGGAGGGGTCCTTTTTTACACACATACATAAATACACACAGCATATCTGTATATATGAACACATACATACACACATATGTGTATATATGAACACACACATTCATGAACATAGAAATGAGTATACACACACAGTATGTACATACATATATAACATATAAATATACCACTCATTATTTTAACTTTTTTATAATAATTCAGGTCTATATACCTTCCATCCTGATTCTACTACTAAAGTTAAATCTCTCAACACTGGCTTGGAATATTTTATATACTTCAGAGACATATCACGAAATTCTATTCTTCCATTAGGAGGCCAAGTATCCGGAGGTAATTTACCTGTTCATTTAAAATATTAAAGATTCAGTATTTATACAAATTTCAATATTATTATAGTAAATAAATAAAGTATAAAGTACCAGGCTTTGGTTCTTGTTCTAAATCTGTATATTCCAAAACTCTTTCTACGCTTAACATATCGTTTATAACGTCTGTTAACATCCGAACACCGTATTGAAGTACTGATGTAAGAGCCATTGCTTGCGTTACGGCCAATCCGACTTGGCCCGCAAATGTCAAGCCAACTATAAAAATAATATTACTATTTTTTCACTTTTTTTAAACATTTTAAATAAGCCAATTTGCATCAACAAATCGAGCAGAAAAAAATTCTATCACAATTTTCATTTAAAAGTCTTGTCTTCCGAAGACAAATAACTGATGGAACAAATATCATTTACAACTTACTCCAATCTTCCATCAAAACAAAACTGAAACAAACAATAGTCGAAAAGACCACGCTGGCCATTTCCAACCAGAATCCTAGGGTCTGAGCAGCCACAACTAGATGATGCCATTGCGCGGAATGCACATCTAAAAGACCATCAAATTCCGAAGAAACTCGGGTCGTTGCTTCACGTGAACGGATCGTATCCAATCCAGCGTAAGTTGAAGACAAATAAGAATAAACTGGACTGCGACCTATAAGAAACGATACATCATATAATAAATAAGTATAACATGCAAATATAGTAAACGTAATTCTTTTACTTACATATCCCTTCAATTCTTCTCATATCTTGTCCAGTTCTCAAGTATATTATAAATAATCCACAAAAGACAGAAAACATTACTATTATTGGTATTAAAAGATAATAATTTGTCATCGATATTATTATTGCTGTACACGCAGAAGAGAGTATTAACTGAAACAATTCAATTCAATAATATATTCCTTAATAACATTTATCTAAATAAATTAATAACTTACTTGTAATGCATTCATCAAGGATTTTGGCAAATATTCATCTATAATACCCATATCTTTTGAAAATCTATTTAAAATTCTCCCTGTAGGATTGATATCAAAGAAGCGTGTTACAGCTTCTAATAATTTTCCGAACATTTTATCATGAAGTTTCTGGGTTGATCTTTTACAGTTCAATAAATAGAAGTAAATTTTTATATGAATAGTCTGCAGAGAAAAATGTTGCAAGGTAAATGTATGTACATAATTAGTTTAAATTTTTGAAAATAATTACCAAAATGAGTCCAACTATAAGTCCTGAATAAATATACAGCGACTGGTATGTGGTAAGCAATGGTGATTCTGCACTTTCTTTGTTTTCATATTTTTTTATTAGATCCTCCTGCTTTGTCCTAAAAATTATGCATTGAAAGAAGTTTTTGTTTGAAAATCTAATTATACAGATATTTTCATAGTGTTTTATATGATGCTAGCATACCAAAAACTAGACCAATAATCAGTAACCATGGCAAAAAGTTGAGCTAGGACAAAAATGAAGATGAGGCCTAATAGTCCACATTTATTTGATCCAGCAACTAAATACCAGAAGAAAACTTTGAACGACATTGTTCCTTGACCTTGATGCTCTTCTAAATCTTCTGGGTCTGGTGGTCCTGAAACATCTTCAACAGCTGCAGTAGACTACAAAATAGAAATTAAATAACAAAAATAGAAAATAAAAAAATAAAAAAAATAATGAAAAAACAAAGTAGAAAATTACGTTATGAAGAACTTTTTTGCCATCATTTGCATCCAAATGCAGAACTAGTATAATCATTCCCACATGATTTTATGTCTTAAGTATATTTATTTAATTATTCATAAATGAAATTATATCAATTTGATGTTAAAGTAAAGCACGTGTTTAATATTTTATGTTAAAACAATACATGATAATAAATAATAATCATATTATACTTACAGTACGACGCAATTGCGATGACATCCTTCGTTTCAAAACTGGTGAATCCACAGACGTAAAATCTATTGACTTTTTATCTTCGTATTCAGAAACTTCTGGTTGTGACAAAAGAGATGCGAAATTAACATTGCTGTTCACAAGATCAGCATAAGTTCCTTGGTTTTGTATCCGACCCTAAGAAATAGTGAAAAAATATGATGCAACATGTTTTATAATTTGTTTGCCAAATACTCACATTATTAAGTATTATAATCCAATCGGCTTCAGACAAAAAGTGCAATTGATGTGTCACCAATATTCTTGTAGAACTGTAATTATTATTAATTTGTTTAATAATACATTTTATTTAACTATTATAGGCTTATTTAAATAAATCATTCATGTAATATAATTATAATTTGCTTTGCGTTCTTAGAGTAAAAAGAGATAATTAAATAATATATTATAAAAAATAAATATTTTTACAGTGCACATATTATTATTTGAAAAAAAAGTTTAGATATTCTAATATAACGTAAAAATTAAAATAAAATCTTTTTAAATTGTGAAGCGCAAAGTATTAACAGAGTGTATTATTTCAGTAACGCCAATTTTATGAATCTAAGGGGCGTCCATTAATCACGTGAGCGAGTTTTTAAGGATTTTTTCGACAATTTTGCATTCGTTGGAAAGGTCTCGGGCTCCGCAAGGTTTATAGCTAAGAAAAATAGTGGTGCATAGCATCGTGCCCTAATGCAAATTGCTGGAACTTCACGCACCATAATTAAAAATTCGAGTAATAAAAATAATCAATAACTGTTTTAAATAATTTCAAATAGATTATCTTCTATAATAAAAATAAGTCGGGTTTTCCTTCCTGACGAAATAACTCCAGAAAATGGAAATTGCTGGAACTTCACGCACCGTAATTAAAAATTCGAGTAATGGCATTAGTGAGAATTATCAAAATTATGCTTGGTTAAGTCAACGAGCAATTCTTTTCGCAAAGAATAATGATGTACACGCACTGAATTTCACCATTCAATCAAAAATTGCTGGCGATTTGGTGATATACCAATGATTCCGACTGGTCTTCCGTTTGACTTCAAACGATTGCAATTTCCAGTTCGCCTTGCGTTCGCAATAACAAGTCGCAAGACCAATCGCTTAGTGTTTGCGGGATAAATTTCAAATAGATTATTTAGAAAATCATTGTTTTTCACATGTGCAGTTATACGTTGCCTGTTCACGAGTAGGAAAACCATCCGCTTTGTTTGTGTTAAAGTCAGACCAGAAAACAAAAAATGTGGTTTACAAATCACTTTCATGAAACGGATAATTTGCGGATTCTGTTGTTGAATAAAATCAAATTTTTCCTTTTCAAATATAAAACAAACAAAAAATTTCTTCATCTTTGTCACGAAACCATATGGTGGCGAAACGGAGTTCGTCGGGTTTGCTAGTCTTTTATAATATGGTGATGGCTTATTGTTGAATAAATAAACAGTTCTACAAATGCAAATAAATCTCAATTATTGTCTTATTGGTTACTAATTTTGTAAAGACTTTTATGATTTATTTTAAATAAAATTTTCCATTAATATGTATTATAGTAAATTAAATAAAGACTAGGTGCTGCTTCTCTAAATGATTTTGTTTTTATTGCTAAAGACGCTATATATAAATTTATTAGTAAACAAATATTCGTAATAAAATTTAAAAAATTACCTAGATAGCAATCCATTATTACCGATGCATTTATCGAACAAATATCGGCCAACATGTGCGTCCACGGCAGACAAAGGGTCATCAAGTAGATAAATGTCGGCGCGCCTGTAAGCAGCTCGGGCCAAACTGACGCGAGCGCGCTGCCCGCCAGACAAAGAGGCGCCGCGTTCTCCGACGATAGTCAGGTCTTTCAGCGGAAACGACTTTAAATCCTTTTCGAGAGAACATGTTCTGAGAACCTAGACGAAAAATAAAAAAATGTAAGTAAAATTCATTGTAATAATAAATTCATTAGTTCAACTTCATAGCAGGTCTTGATTGTATTACCCGATCGACAAATACCTGTAATAGTATTTCAGAGCAATAGTTTACTATTGGTTATAAAATATGAATTATTTACTTTAAATAAAGCAATAATTAAAAAAACTAGTGGGGTGCATGGCATGGTGACTTTAGGCAAATTGCTATAACTTCCCGTACCAAAAGTTATTTTTTTTTTAAAAGATTAACATTTTTGATAAAAAATTACTTTGAAAAAATTTAATTTTTGAGAAACTATATATTATTGACAGAAATTTACTTTTTTGGAAAAAAAGACTTCTTAAAAAAATGGATCGTTTAAGTATTACGTAAGCATATTTAGTACAATTATTTACCTCCCCCCATCCCCCTTGTCAGCAAAAGTAAACAAAGCTGTCACCCAAAATAAGCAAATCAACAAAATTCAAAAAAATTATCATAGCAGAAAAAAAACAAAAAAATTAATTGTTTGAAAATTGATGTAAAATTAGTAATGGTATAAATACGAGTATAATTTTAGAAATATGGAATCTTGATAGCAATAATTTGAATTGCTTTATTGCTAAATTAATTTAGTAACTAAATAAAAAGCCTAAATTGCATTACATTGTTGGAAAAATAACTGCTATAAAACGATATTTTATATCGTTTTTTTTAGTATGAAATGTTTTAAAATATAAAAATTATCACACTTTATCACCTCATTCATTCATTGGCATCTGGGAAACTCATATTCCAACCATATATTTTCAAAGTTTACAATAAATAGTATTAATTTCATAAGATTAAATCTATAGTCTATTATATAAAAATAAGTCGGGTTTTCCTTCCTGACGATATAACTCCAGAACGCCCAAACCGATTTCGACGATTATGCATTCGTTGGAAAGGTCTCGGACTCGGTGAGCTTTATAGCAAAGAAAATTGAAGAAAAATTTCAACAGAAAAGCGGTAAAATCTTTTTTCACATACAGGCTCATCTATGATAGCATGTATGTACTACAAACCAATATTTTAAGTACATAGTGCCGGTAGATATATTGTTTGAAAGCTATTCATTTTCTTTTCAAATATAAAACAATAAAAAATTTCTTCATCTTTCTCACAAAACCATCTGGTGGCGAAACGGAGTTTGCTGGGTTTGCTAGCTCTTTATAAAAAATATAATATAAATACCTCTCTATAACGTATCTTCTCATAAGGTAAACCAAATAATATATTATCCCGTATAGTTCCAGTAAAAAGCCAGGAATTCTGCGATGCATACGATACAGTACCATCTGCATTGAGAGTCCCAGAGTCAACCGGCATTTCATCAAGAATTAATTGCAAGAATGAACTCTAGAAAAAACGATGATTTAATTATAAAAATATGATTTATATATAATATATTTTAGTTATACTTTTCCAGAAGCAACAGGTCCAATAAGTGCGCACAGCTTTCCAACAGGTATTTTAACAGTAATGTCAACCAAAGCATCTGATATAGATGTCCAACAAGCAGTAACATGATCTATATCAAGTGCATATTTAGATTTCTTAGGTTTGATCACATCGCCATTGCAATCCAATACATTGTATATGTCTTTTACGATGACATTGGAGTTAGGATTGCATATTTCTTCTTGTAGTAAAAATTCTTCAATTCGTTTTAACGTAACGATTAACTCCGCACCTTGATACAATGCAACCGCAAAATATACTGATATGGTCATCTGAAAGTATTAAAGTTATTATCCTTATCAATTACAAATTTTGGATAACTAGTGCATAATTTCAAATAAATTTCAAACACCTTTCTATTTTTCTATGTTAGGTAAGCTATAAAATGCATAATAATAAGCAAACCTGCAGTGTATTGTAATATAAAACTAACGAGAAAACTGTCTGTGCATCGAAATCCACTCCGAGTAAAACACAAGCCAACAATGTTATAAAAAGTGTAGTTCTTTCAGTGATTATCATCAAATGGTGAGTCAGTGAACGGACGATATTTGCCTTAAATACCGATGAAAGTTCTTCTCTTCGCACCTTCGACACCAAAGCCGCAAAAGGCTTTTCCCATGCATACATTTTTATCACCTAAAAATGCAGATAGTATAAATAAAAGTAGTGTAGGGGGAAGTCCCGTAACGCCGCACGGCACTAAGCACCGGACACTCTATTTAACTTTATTTCTACATTTGAGTGGTATGCAAAGATAAAAGTTGTACTTGATTGTTATACGTAAAATGGTAGAATATATAGATCTTTTAACCAATTTTAGTAAGTGCCACCAAATGAACGAAAATGTCTGTCCCTTAGCACCGGACACTAAATCGTCCCTTAGTAAAATCATAATTTACCAAACATTTCGTAAAATATTTTTTGATTTATTTATAAATAACCTTAAGTGTCTGCCACTAGGAGACTTACCCCTATATGTACATAATATAAATAAAATATATGCATGTATAAATTAAATTATTTACCTTGATTCCACAGATAATTTCATCCATCAGTCTTACTCTCTTATCAGTTAATACAGCAATTGATTTTCTACATTTTGAAGTTAATTTTGCATAAAGATTTACAAGTGGTAATATTTGTAATAAACAAGCCCCGATACCTATAAAAGTCGGAATCCCGACAGCATCATATGATAAATAACATATGAGAGCAAGCTAAAATAGTAACACAAAAAATAAAAAAAAAATAAAAAAAAAATTTAATAATAACAATTTAATGTTATTTATTACACAAATATTAATATTTACCTGTAATGGTGTGATCCATAAAAAGTTAGCGAATAGCATACCGTGATCAAATCTGGTTGAATCATTAGAAATTATATTTATCAATTGACCCACAGGTAATTGGCTGCAGACGGTCTTGGATAAACGAAGAAGCTGCATATAGAGCAAGAATAAAAAGAGATGAAATATTACTTTGACGTGATTAATTTTTATTTATTGTTTTTTGTACAAATTTAAAATATCCACTTGAATACTTTGACGTGTTGATAAAAGTCCAAAACCCTATCAGGATCGTAGCACACCAACAAAAAAATAATCGTTTGAAAATTTATATGAGATTAATAAAAATATATAATGTTAGAAATAAGAAATTACTTAAATTAATTGACTAACTCACAAACAAAACTAACAAATGAAAAAATAATTGATTAATTTCAAGATGTAACTCGACAAACGATTATAATACATTATTATTGATGACCGATCCGAATTAATGAAAAAATAATTTTCTTGGGTATTTGAACTCACGGGCCGGCGGTGGCGATATCGGTTAGAGCGTGGACTAGCAACCACTAGTTCCAGGTTCGCTGGATCGATTCCCGCTACCGCCGTAGCCCAACATCAGGCAGCTTTGATGTCAAATTTCCACTTGGGATTATAGATCACAATATAATTCCAAGTGGAAATCGTCCTTCGTGGACATAGCTGCAACATCCAATCATATGCAACTATTAGACGTAAGAGCTAATATTAAAAATATCCCACACATAAGAGAATGGTTAATCGATGGATTGCCTCTCATGAAATAAAGTAGTATTAAGTCGTGAACCAACAGCTTATAGAACATATATAGGAGTTCTGATTGCTGTTCAAACAATAAATAAATAAAAAAAATTTGAACTCACACTATTTAATTATTCTTCGATTTAATAACTGATAAGTTATTATCTACATAATCTGGTATAAATAACTACTTGTTGACATAGGCTTTTCGTTGCTTAAATATTTTAATATAGATCCGTTAGAAGTTCAAGGTTACAGATCAATTAGTTAACTTCCAACACCATCAAAAATTTTGGCAAAAATTATGATTGTTAGAATAGAACCTTATATTGATGATGGAAAGACATAACAAGAGAAATATAGACAATAGTTTGAAGAGACGTTAAGGAGTTGGCATTGGTTCCTCGTGCGAAAATAGAAACTTATTACACACGACAAAATTTACGTGTAACCATTATTAAACTAAATCATATTTCTTGAAAATTTACCTTTCGATAAACCAAAGACGAGCAGGCCACGCGGGTCCTCATTCCAACCACACGTTGTCTAAGTTCTGCATGGTGATCGATAATCACGGCTAAAGCGCTCATTGCCGAGAGCATTCCTGCAAATTGGAGGGCTTGCTTTTTTGTCACTTCTGAGTTGGTCTTGAAATACATGAGAAAACTGCCTAATAATAAGGGCTGTAGAGATCTAAATGTAAATCACCAAAATTATTTTCTATTTAGATAAATTTTTGATGCATACAAATAAAACTGCTTTGCATTATAATTCATTTATATAATCTATAATATAATAAACTACTGTAACTGTAAAGCTTACTTGATTCCTACAAAAGCAAGATAAAGTAATCCATCACAAAAATGACTCTTCCAAAATGTTCGAAGTAGCGCTTTATAAAATTTTGGTCTTCGATTTCGTTTTTCGGCATTATTAAGTTCCTCGTACCAATTTCTGAAACAAAACGTTTAATTATTTATCTTTTACCTATAAGTTTGTAAAAATAACTATTGTAGTTTCAGATATATTAACAAAATTATTCTTGTTGAAATTTAAATAAAATGACAAAATAAATGACAAGCTTGAAAAATTATTCTTAAAAGACTGTTTGAATGTTTAATTTTATTAATTTTTATTTAATGTTATATATTTGTAGTTTATATTAAGTGATACGTGTACAAAGCTATCTATGAACTCTTAATACTCTAATTTTCTCATATTATCTTTAGTTTATAATTTGTACACTTTAAAATGAAATTATATTGTATTATGGCCTTGGGCGTTGAATAAATAAATAAATAAATATGATAGACGAAATAAGAACTTCTTTTCATCAAAGTTATTGTTTTAATCAGTAATTTCAAATGACTAATTTGCTTCAAAGTATCAGATAAACAAATTATTTTCACGTTAGGTAAATCAGACCTTTAAATTATCAATTTATTTTATTTAATACGTTTGATACTTTATTATATGTGACAGGTGTACAGTAAAAACATTTTTTTCACGCAATTCAACAATAATTGGACGGTAAGTAGAATTTACTGATAACGTTGTTTTTTACAATAGTGACACAAAATACGTGCATAAACAGACCATTTTACCAGATATGACGTATTATTAAGTGAGATATATTGTAGAAAATATTAACATCATAGGCTTTAGATTTAAATACGAATTTAATTATATAGTCACTCCTTTATTTTTTTGCTCCTTGAAGTCTTTTGATTATTTATGTATATTTTATAAAATCTATATAAAAATTTAAAACTCTTACACTATATGATGCAATCAGAGTTTTTTCAGCTTCATGAACTTCATACAAATACTAGTATTAAAATTAGTTTAATGGAAAACACTGATTTCGTTCAATGAACATGTAGAGTTATATTTTATATAGATTTATTATAATTAAAGTTTAATGCGCATTGGCTAAAAAAATATGATCTATAATTTTCTATCTATTTATAAAAATGAATTACGTTGAATAGTAAATTGAGTGCACTTTTCGATATATGTGGCGCACAAATGTACAATTTTGATTGATGATAAACTTACAACATAGAGAAAAACATTAGGATATTCCTTGTACTAAATAAGATGAGGTCTTGAAGCAAATATTGAATTTTCTTATTCAAATATATATAATTTATAATAATAGAATTTCACCTTTCTAGCAAGTCACCAAGCGCCTTCGCTTGATCGTCTTCCACAGTTTTCGTGAGGTCCTTAGGGGTCAGACCCCGTTTGAATCCGCGCCATATAGTCGGTATCAACGACAAAAAGAACAATTTCGCAAAAGGGTTGCTATTTTGTAACGGATTTGTCTTTTTTGATTTTATAGTCGCGTCCATGACTGCCGGATTCAAATTAGAACACCAGACCTGAGACCAGTCCTCATTTTTCATCGACGGTACATTTGCCAACGGTGGGGACATTTCTGTAAAAAACCAAATAATTATTACTAGCGCAATTATTATCGCTGTTTTAATTTAAAATGCGCATATAATTAAGATTAAGGAAATTGCATTATATGCAATTCTATGAAAAATTAATGATGTAAAACTGCAATTGATAGATATAAAATAGAACAAAGAATAAATATGATTAATTTTTGTGCTAAGATAAATAAATTAAAATTCTTAAGAACCAACCTGCATTTGACGAACCTCCAGATATCAATTTGCTTTATTTATTCGTTTATGACAATATTCTCCACATCCATGAGCACCACTTAATATTTTTATCAAAACATTTTTTATATTAATTTAACATAAACATTGTTGACTGTACTATCTGCTTCACAAGTATAAAATCTCGATTGTATTTGCACTGATTCGAAACAGTCGACGTATTTACTTGTAACTCAAATATTAATCACAACCAAGAATGTTGATTCAAAAGGAAAATTGAGCATAAAAATATAAAAATATATTCTAGAGTTTAAAGTATTCGTCAAAGTTTTTAATTGACACTACAATGCAAATACAAAATATGTAACACTGATAACAAATTCAGCTCTTTGGGTTATATTTTTAGAATTTTATTAGCACAGTCATGTATTACTGACTTTTCATAAAAAATATATTGAAAAATAATTTATATTAAATTGAAACGCATTTTTTATTTCATAATTTCTTTAAATGCATTCACTTCTTAGTTTAATTTAAAATCCTTAACGAATATATTCTATGTACGAATCTAAATAACAAAGTAATGAAAACAATTATAATTTGTTTAAACATAATTGAAGACTGTTATTTATAATAATAATATCTAAAATAATGTTTCAATTTTCGACATCCATTCTGATTTTTTTATCATCTCTAAATCTTATGGTAGAAAACGGGATATACGCGTATATATTTAACATTTTTGGATTAAGTAGTTAATTTTTATTTTGAACGAAGTAATTCAAAATGATTTATTTAGGCCAAAATAGGCAATATAGAGATAGAAAAATTATATTTCAAATAAAATAAAATATGGCATTATAAATATATACAAAAATGTTTAAATGCAACCCTGGAAAAGAAAACTTTAATGAATATTATGTTCTAATCGACATATTATTACTCGCAAATTGCTTTACTCCATAAACTATAATTTTTGAATTAGATAATATAATGCACGTGTACATGTAGAAACAATCTTCAAACTCGCAGATTTTAGATCATTTCAATATTTATTCAAGCAACCGCTTAAATTAAAATTAACTAACAGTCATGCATGCTTCTTTTTTACTAGTAATAAATATTTTTAAAAGGTAATATAATAAAGATTCATGTCGTTGTTCGTACATTTATATTTAAACAGATGTCATATGAATAAATATTGAGATTTGATTTTATCAAATATTTATATACACAATTCAAAACAAACTGCATAAAAGATTTGTACACCGAATATGCATTCCGTTTCAATTTATTATATTTATCAAATTTACTTTCCAGAAATTTGAATATTTTCTTGGCCTTGATCACTGTTATCAACTTTTGCATAAAACTGATCCAACACGTGCGTTAATATCAATTCGTGAGAATCAGTACTACTACAATTTACCATTTCTCATAATCAATTAAAAAATATAAATATTTAATCACACTTGAATGAGGATATATAATTTAAACTTTATTTTCAATCCATTCTCATACAAATGTTCAATATTAAAGTCACATAAATACTGCATATTGACGCAAGTTTACATGCACAGTACATTATAGCAAGAATTTGTTGTTTACAACTTACAACCTCACAGGAATTTACTAAAGCTTCATTGAAATAATTGCGATGTACTAAATTAAAAAATTCTTTAAATGAACTATGTTAAAACTATGTTAAAATTGTCGAAGATAAACGCATAACGAATATGAAATTGTTGGAATAAATTACATATAAAAAACTTATAAATGAATTAGTTATAAATTATAAATGCACCGATAAAATTGCGTCTAAATACACTTAATGCGTAATACTTTTAAAAAATCAAAAATCATATATGATTAAAATTTGTCAAAATATATACATTATTTATTTACAAAATTAATCGATTTTCAATATACATTAAGAGATAAGTACTATTTGACAAATTCACATGTCCAAGAGACAATGTTAAGAAATGTTATTATGAAAAGCGTAAACTTTACTCTATATGGAAGATCATTATTAAGTATAAAATTTTTATATTTATTAATCTCACACACAATATATAGCGTCTTATTATATAATTCAACTGAGTTTCACATGAATATCTTTATAGATATTTTATAGTAGTTTTAATTTATGTACATCAGTTTTATAGGCACTAAATGTAATAATATTTATAATATTTCATTTTATATAAGTCAAATTTATAAAAATATCAATTTTGTACATTAAATTCTATCACTAGATTTTCGTAAACATACATATAAAAATATGTAAATATTTTGTAACACGTAAATTAAAATATATCTAATTTAATACTTATTTTAAGAACAAACAACAAAATTAAAGCTAAGTATCGTTATATTGTGAACTATTAATCTAACCGTCTTTCGAGAGGAAGAAAACATAGATAATTTTAGGCTAAGATTATTAAGTAAATATTTTAAGTATTGATTATATTTAATATTAAAATTATATATAATATTCAATCATTAAAGTTATGGTCTGCGATTGCGTTTATAAACGGTAAGGTGGCATAAAAAGTTTAAAAATCAATGTATTAGTTTGAGAAATAACATTGAAAAAAAAATCAAAATAAAGTTAATGATAAAACAACTTTAAACCGCCTAACACTCTAGAACGCCTAAAAATCTTAGTCCGAAAAACATAAAGAAAAAAAAACTTTTTGAATCAACATCCACATAAAAAAAAGAATTCGAAACAGTCTATAATTGGGAACGTGCACAGTAATTAAAGGCACATATTTAAATTACATTTAAAACATACTTATGAATTCTATATTAAGTAGTTATACTGCGAGTATAGAGAATCAAATTTAATTCTATCAAAAAATCTCAAAAGTATATATTTCTGTCCAATCAACATGCATTTTAAAGTTTTCATATATATCACATATAACGTTTTAATATATGCATAGTACATTTTGACGTTGTATTGTACAATCACGATTAATTATGAATACTATTGTAATGCTGAAGAAGTTGGTCACCCGTTTTCATTCAACCAGACGCTAAAATTTGTTATAATTATAAAAACATTACGCTTAAAGTATTACTGTAATTAGTGAAAACATCGGTTTAAGACCGTATATTTATACACAGTGGTATAACGATAAGTTAAAAATGGCCCTAAATATTTAGAGCCAACGACCTATATGCTTCATCAACATGGACCTGATAAGTTCTAACCCTGCATTAATTTATAAAGCTTTGATATTACCCAACAGCATTCAGATCATCGTTTCCAAAGAACTTGTATGGACTTTGTTTTCAGCCGTTTTCCTAGCAATTGCCATAAGTTGTTCCGCTTCTTGTCGACCACTTTGATCCACCATGGATCGGAAAATTCCATCTTTGACATTTAACAATTCTATAGGAGAAGCAAACTCTGCAGCCTGGCCGGCATCCATAACCAACACCCGATCAGAATCCATGACGGTGTGAAGACGATGAGCGACCGTGAGAACTGTACATTCGGCGAAACGTGAACGAATCGTCCTTTGGATTAATATATCAGTTCTACAAAAAAAAAACAATTCCAAGTATTACTTAAATAGTACATCAACAACAATAATCAATAGTGCATACATAATGGTAAACTTACTGAGGGTCAACATTGGCCGTCGCTTCGTCCAGTACTAAGATCTTATTCTCTCTTAGAATAGCCCTGGCTAAGCATAGAAGTTGCCTTTGTCCGACACTGAAATTAGACCCGCCTGCCATAACTGGAGCTTGAAGACCCAAAGCACTTGCACCCAATTCTCCTAGTTCAACCTCATGCAGTGCAGTCCATACGGCGGCATCCGAATATTCTTCAAATGGATCAAGATTTCTAAAAAATATAAATTAGCTCAAATTATTACTAAATCATATATCAACAGCAATAATATATAATATATTATTGAACATAATAAAATTTATTGAAACTCCGTCAGGACTTTTTTTATAGAACAGATTTGCAAAACTCTAAATCATTGTATTTTTTTCTAATTCAAATTTACCTTCGTAATGTTCCAGAAAACAGTACAGGATCTTGTGGAATGATGGACACTTTTGATCTTAGTTTATTCAAAGAAATTGTAGCCGTATCGATGCCATCAATTGTTATAGATCCTTCAACGCGGGCTAAGCGGAATATTGCCGCAATCAAGGACGATTTGCCAGCGCCTGTTCTTCCAACTATACCAATCTAAAACAGAAAACAAAATTATTTGGTTAAATGAATATATTTTTATAAAGCTTAACACTTTTATATATTCCTTCATGTATAGCTAAAATATTTGTATACGTTTATAACCATTGGATTCATTTCTTTCAAAATATAATACTAATTAAAAACCGGTGATAATCAATGAAAATTTCAAAAATCAGTGAAATTTTATTTTTATTTTTCTACCTTTTCTTTTTCGTTGATCTCTATATCCAAGTGTTTCAAAACTGGTTCCTCTCCTTCCACATAAGTTAAAGTCATGTCTTCAAACTTAATTGTACCTTTCTCTGGCCATAATTTAGGCACTTCTCTAGGAACCTTCGGTTCTGTTTCTGGCGGTAATGATTTGTATTCAAGAACACGTTCCACTGCCATCATTTGGTTAGCAACTTCTGCACTTTGCCGGATACCCCATTGCATCATTCCGGTGAGGGCCATCGCCTGAGTGATGGCCAAACCGACTTGGTCGCCCAATCGTTCTGGTAAACAGAAATATAATATTTATTTTATTCATATTTTTAGTTTTTAAAATAAATTTTAGTCATTTAAGAGAAACAAATATGAAAAATAACTAATATAAAATAATAAATCTAAAGATACATTAATATTATGATCATCCATTAAAACTATTACATACCTTGTCCTGCAATTAGAAAACTGAAAGTGACAGCAAATATAAATAGCAAGCACATCAGATCTAAGCTGAAACCAAAAGCAGTGCTAGTTGCAATGAACATGTACCATGCACCACTGTGGCGATCTTGATGTGAATCGAATTCACTCGTTAATTCACTTTGGGCTCCAAACGCCCTCACAGTCGACAAGCCAGCTAACGATGCTGCAAGGTGAGAATATGCTGGACTTCGGGCTTAAAAAATAAAATATTCTGATTTGAACACAAATTCAAAATTCAAAAACAATATAGCTTATTACAGTTTCATAAGTAAGCTATAAATAAATAAAATTCGATTAATGTTATCTGTAATTACAATACGTACTTATTCCTTCAAGACGTTTAATATTTTTTGATGTTTTTAAGTAAATTCTTCTCACAAATATGAAAACTATTCCAAGAACGCCGACAGCTATCAAAAATAATGGATTTACAGTTGCCGTTAATATTAAAGCGCCAACTATAGTCAGTATGATCTGAAAAGAATAGAATTAAATAAAATATACGATTTTTTTCAGCAAAGCTATGAATATACAAAATGTACCTGTGATGAATCAAGCAAGGCTTTAGGTAAAAATTCATCAATAGCGCCCATGTCTTTTGAAAATCTATTCATAATCCGTCCTGAAGGGTTTGTATCAAAAAATCGCATAGTTGTCTGAAAAAAAATTAAATTATTAATATTTATTTTATTCTACTAATATTTAAATTATCTGATTAGTTATACTTGTAAAATTCCTTTGAACATAGAATCATGTAATCTTTGAGAAGCCCGTACACATACAGTGTAGAAATATAGAACTGCAAATAATAAGAAAATACAGAAAATTAAACTAATCCAAAAATAATTGAATCATAATATAATCTTTTCTACGAACCGAGTATAGCTATTATAAATAGTGAAGCAACTAATCCTCCATGAATATACATGCAAGTTTCAGTGCTAAGTAAGTTTTCAGTATTACTTGATGTTTGGTTTGTAGTAAGTCATTAAAATCACTTGAATTTATCGTGGCAGATGAGTTATAGAAATGACGGAGTTCTTCTTGTGCAGTCCTGAAAATACAACAGTTATACATAAGCTTTTAAATTAAAATAAAATCAACAAATTCGAGAGACTTTGAATCGAACTTACAAAAGAACGATAACAGACTTTCCAAGTATCATTTAATAGTTCACTAAATAAACAATAAAAAAATAATAATATTTAAGTGTTATATATTTTTGTTGAATGATAATCATTAAAATTCATTAAGGGTTATTATTATTATTATTATTCATTATAAAATTACCAGTATGAAACCCAATAATCAGCGGCACTAGCGGCAACTTGCGCTAACAAAAACAAGGCAAACATAGGCATCAACAGGATCGAGTTAGCACCAGCCTTGAAATATTGTGCTAGCAGAGATCCTTGAACCGTGCCTTTCGAAGATTTTTCAGCAACAGCTTGCGGACCTTCGTCGACATCCTCCTCTTGCTCTGAATCTGATTCATGAGTCGCAATAGAAGAAACTGACATTTTGCTCTAAAATAAATATTTGCGTTATTGGTTATAATATCGTTCGATTACTTACTTAACTTAAGAAATTACTTACTCTTGCTGATGTTTTTGATAACCTTCTTATATGGATCGGGAGACTCTACATTTTCTTGTTGACTGATTAATTTGGCTATATCTATTCCACTTCTTGATAAATCTTCGGGCGTTCCTTGCGCTTCAACTGTTCCCTGAAATAAATTTAAATATTTCAGTAATTTGTCAAATGCTGTGATTGATATAAATAATTTCAAATTTTACAGTTGGCATTTTGAACTATTGTTAATAGTTAATAAAAAAGTTAATAAAATCACCCACATTATTCATTACTATGATCCAATCAGCTCCATTCAAATAATGCACTTGATGAGTGACAAGAATCCTAGTACATCCTTTTAATTGTCCTTTGGGTCCGATACATCTATCAAACAAATGCCGCCGACATGTGCGTCAACAGCGGAGAGCGGGTCGTCCAGCTAAAGGTCTGCACGGCGATAAACGGCTCGAGCTAAACTAACACGGGCGCGCTGACCTCCTGATAGAGATGCACCGCGTTCACCCACTAAAGAAATAATATTTGTTAAAATTAATTTTTTAAGATGTAAATGAAGAATTGGTTAGATTCAAATGAATCTATCTTTTGAATTATCTTTCAAACTAACAAACTTGTAAGATATGTTCTCACTCGCTTGCTTCTAGTGTAGAAATTCAAAAAATCGTTTTTTTTATTTCATATTTTCGAAGTTTAACTATCTAAGAATATGGGTACGAGAACGTTTTTGAAAATTTGAATTATTTTCAGAGATATAAGCATTTACTGGCTCGGTCTCCATACTGGTTTGGCTTCACGCAAAACCTTAAATGCGTTTTTCTCAGAACAGACTTTTTCAGTACTTGACAACGATTTCTCGAGTTTTAATAGACCGATTCACTTGAAATGTTCGAGAGTCTTGTTTATAGACCTATCTATAGCCCGAACTAGGATTATCCCCAAATTCCAATTTTAACTATTTTTAAAAAATCGAGAAACTCAAAAAAACAGTAAAAAAACACTTTTTTTCCCCAGTCGCCAATTTGTAAAAAAAAATCCTTTTACTCATCGCTAGTTCGGGCGATTGCGACATCATTGGAGGTTAATAATCTTTTTATTTTTTGCATTTCCGATGGCTAGGAGGCTGAAATCATGTCAAGACTGAGGTGCTAATTTTGTGAGACCACCCACTTCATCAGCTGCCAGTTTTTACAATTTCAACTTTTTTATTTTTTTAATTTTTGTTTTGTATTTTAATAATATTAATAAACAAGTGGTAACAAATGGATAGTAACAACATTCATTGCTTTCTTTCACACACTTTAAAAATGACCTAAAATTCATCGCTCCACTCTAAAATACCCCCTAACCAGAATATTTCTGGTTCCGGAAGGGGCCTAGTATTGCGAGAAATATTTCCGACGATTTTATCGCGTGACCTCCCATATAAATTAAAAGTTCTGTTATAAGACATTCTATACAATGCAAAAGAATAAATTCTTTGCTGGATACATTAATCGTTATTATTATTAACCTTCGATTGCGATAAAAACTAAAGAGATTATCTATAAATATTTGTAAAACGTAAGTAGAAAAGTAAATTCTAATACAACTGATTAAACTAAAACTTGCTTTATATAATTTCTCAATTCATAATATTCACTATTTTAGTATTCGAAAAGAATAGGACAGTAGTAACTGATAGTAATTACTCAATTATGAAGGTGATAATAATCTCCGACCATATCTATGTACTGGTCAGAAAGAAAAAGCAA